GTTTGTATCCATAAACAAATGAAAGCTCACTTGCAATCATGAATGGGAAAACTTGAGGACACGTGAGTTTTGTTCTCTAGCCAACTACCCCTATTCTGCTTCTTTTTTTCCTATTCATCCTGAAACTGAGATGGGTAGTTCTGCAGAGGAGATCCTGAGTCCACTTCCCTAACCACTTAAGAGTATATAAGACTGGCTCATCTATAGACCGTGTAACCCTCCAGGTGGGCTTACTTCAAGGGCTTTTAAGGTCTGTACTTGGGTTCAGATTTTCACCATAAAATGGCTCTCTTTTTACCTACAGCCACTCAGTGGTTAAATGGTCCAAGCTCTGACCAGGAGCTGAAATAAAAGTTCAGTGATACTAGCTCTTTCCCCATGGGTAGGCAGTACAATAATAATATAGAAAGAAGAAGGATATAAGACTTGTTAATCAGGACTGGTATAAATAATCATAGAGAAGCTAACATTTATTACATTCTTCTATGTGTCAGGCTTCATTGTAAGAATTTCTCAAGTCTGAACTAATTTGAATCTTCTGATACTTTCCTAGGTAGGTATATTTTTAATTCCAGCTGTTAAGTTACTTGCACCGGGTAATGCAGCTTGTAAAGGGCAATGCTAAGTCTGAAACCCAAATCTAAGAATGGAGATCTGGGGAACAGCACTGCACTGTTCACTACTGTGCCTAGTGTACACACCAGCAGAACCCAGGGTAAAAGTGAATTTCTCTGAGGCATTTGACATCTCTGAAATGCCTTTATCCTACAATAGAAAATTAAGTCTTGGCAATTGCACAGTTAGAGGCTTATTATCTGAATAAATCAATGAAACCAAAGAACCCACCATATTGGAGGGAGCCCTTAGTGGGGCATCACCAGGACACTAATGTTCTTACATTACCTAGTCTGTGAATGTGGGGAAATACTGAATACATAAATGGGATTCAGTGAAATTTAGAGAAGGGGACCAGGAGCTTTGGTTTCAAAGAACAATTCCATGTAAATGTGGACATGGTCTAATAATAAAGCAAAGAATTTCTAGTCTTCCTCTTGTAATTTAATCAACCACGAGATATATTTGAGAAATAATTGGCTGGAGCTAATTAAATTAATATAAAATAATTTGATAGTTGCTGTTAGTATTATATCATTACTATTATACAGATGAGGAAATATATGTTAACATATTCTCTTGGAATCATCCTGCATTAAGTGATAGTCTTATAGTGACCTGGATCTTTATATTCCTCTTGCTAATACTACTCTCCAGTGTTATACATACAGTAAAGGGTCAGCTCAGTGCTGCTCATTAGGAATATAAAGGGAGCCACTAATGAGAACCATATGTGTAATCTTACTTTTCTAGTAGCCATGTTAAAAATGGTAAAATCTGTGAGCTTCATTTGAAAGTACCTATTTACTTTACAATAATATATAGAGAGATAGATAAATTTATATCTTAACCCAATCAGCTCATTACATCTAAACTATTAACATTTGTTGAAATTATGTAATCAACGTGAAATTATTAACAAGCTATTTCACATTAAGTCCCAGTATCTATTTCTCAAGGACAGAATATTTTGCCACTAGTAACATTTCAGCTGGTCAGTGGTTTCTGGAAGCTCTTGACTACTAATGTAAGGTCAGCATAGGGTTAAGATTTAAATATATTGGGGAAGTAGGGTGGATAAAATCATCAACAGGAGCACTGCCTTCCACCTTAGCTTCTGATGCCTCCCTGCCCCCAACTTACCTCCTTTGCCAGTTTAAAGGAAACGCATAGCAACAGCCTTTTGCCTTTTCTGTTAGAGCCAATGTGGTTATTTCTGAATTTGGAGAGGACAGGTGTTTCTCCCTCAACCTTCCAACAACTGTCATTTCCCTCCTGGCAGCTACTCTGGCAGTCAGCGTGCTTGATTCCTGTTTTGAAAATGAAGTAGGTTGTATGAATTAAATAATTTACCCTGAATACCAAACTGAGGGGTAGAATGGCTTGTTTTATGAAACGCTATAGAAAATTAGGGAATCCCTGGCTTAACTGATTAGAACAAAACCTTGCAGTTTCAGTTACACATTCGGTGAATGCATAGATGACTGCAGAGAGAAGGAAATATTCCGCTGTCCAAGGGGAGAAGCACAGCGTCCAAACACTTCAACCTCTTAAAGTAGCTTTACAACAGCCCACCGAACTTTCCCCTCAGAATACCCAACCAGTTGCCCAAATGAACACACATAAAAAGATGCCCCACACTCTTGGCCTTGGGTGGCGCTACTAGGGTGACGGAGTTAATTAGGTCCCGCAAAACGCCGCGTGTGAGCTCATCTGAGAAGTCATGCTCTACACACATATTATTTATAGCATATTTGAGGCGTGCACGGCATTTGACATTTTCTTCTTTTTAAGTAGGGGGACTTTAAAAAAGTCGTGGGTAACCCTTTCCCACCTCAGACTAAGTGCTGTGGGCAGGTTATCCGGTGCGCGGGAGGCTTACGCGCCAACCACGCGTGTGCCGGCGCAGGTGCCGGGGGCGTCGGCGGCCACTCGGCTGCGTTTGCTCTGGTGGAGAGTTCGCGACTGATCTCTGCTTGCCTTGCAGATGCAAAATGTGTCTTTGGCCAGCAGGAGGAAGGAAGAGGAAGTGAGAGCAGCGGCAGCCGGCGGTGCAGCAGCCGGCGGACCCGAGTGTAAGTGCGTGTATTCAGGCGAGCAGGGGCGGATGAGAATGGGCAGTGGATAGAGACAGAGCCACTCTCTGCCACTGGCCCGAGCTGGTAGGCAGAACCTCCGTTCTTTTTTCAATGGTCACGGGTCGTCAGAGCTCTGGTCGCGGGGAACCGTCGTCGCCGTTGCAGTCCAGCGACCCCCGGCAGGTTCGTAAAGTTTCCTGGGCTGGCGCCGCGCCCGGACTGGTGACCTCAGGGAGGCTGGGGAGGGAGAAGGGACTGGGGCTGAGAGGAGGAGTTCAATTCCTGAAGACTCTTGAGCGCCGCGAAGACACTTTTGTTTCTTCCCTGGGGGCGCCGCGGCTTGGGCGGGGGTGCAGTGGAGCTCAGCTGGTGAGGGCTGCGGGCGCGCCACGGCGCTTGGCTATGGGGAAGTCTGGTGGAGCCGGGCGGCTAGAGTGGAAGTAGAGGGAGGGAGAACCGCGGATACAGCGCCGGGCCCTGGAACACTCGCAGACGTTTCGATCGCGGTCAGCTGGGGACGATGCTTGTGAGGTTACGCTGCAGGCTCCTACCGGTGGTTGAGGACTGGGAGCTGGTGTGGGATTGGGGGTTTGGAGACAGGAGGTTAAGCTTGAGAAGTGACTGACCGCTAGAACTCCCGGTTTTTCTCCGACGCTTACAAATGGGAGGGAATCCCCCGGCGAGCGAGCTCCTGGCTGAGGAGATTGATGGGCTGCTGGGACCGAGGGCCCTGAGGAACGGTAGGGGGCGATTGGGGCAGCTGATAGCTCCAGGGGCGATTGTTGCTTCTTTCTCGCCTCCGGGGACTGCCGAGATCCCCGCCGGGACCTGGAAAGACAGCCCTGGTTCGAGGGAAGATTATGGAATCGGAGCGGGGCCTCACTAGGAGCGCCTTGCCTTCAGTAAAGGGGAGAAGAGGAGCCCTGAGGTCTTAGATTACTAGCGGACTTGGCGCGGCCGCAGTCGTCAAGAGTAGCTTTGAGGAAGAGGAAATACTGAACTCTGTCGGCCCAGGGGTGCGCGCCTGTGCTCAGGGCTGGGAAGTCCGTGTTTGTACCGCGGGCGCGCGCGAGGGCAGGCAAGCCAGTGTGTGAGCGTGTGTGAGCGTGTGAGCGTGTGTGTGTGTATGCGCGCGCGCGGTATGTGTTAGCTACTGCGGGGGGCCTTCAGAGACAGGGACTCCCAGCCAGCCAGGAGACTCTTTCCTGCCTAGTACCCTTTTGAAGTTGGTTGCTCTGAGAAGGGATTGTTAGTTGACAACTTGACCCGCGTTGACCTAAAACCGCAGGACTGGGTCCCGGTAGTGACCCAGCTCTTGAGGGCCTCTGGACAGCTCCTGAGACTCAAGGAGCATATATTTTCTGATGTCCTGTGTCCCGAACCATGGGCCTGCTGCTGCTCACTGACAGTCATAAATGATGACGAGCTAATTCTTTATATTTAACATTTCAGAAAACCTGGGACACGAGTTTGTGCCAACCATCTGCCTCCTGAGGCAGATGCCAGGCTGGTCAGGAAGTGGGGCCTAGAATTGGGGTGGTATAGGTGGGGCAGTGGAAGAATTTCTGAGTTTTGTAACTTTTATAAAATAAAAACACTTAATGAGTTGTACTTATGTACCACTCTTTGAGGGTGACTTGAGGAACAAGAGATATCTAACCTCACCCAAGTTCACTTTTAGATGGAAAGGAGGGGGGCAGTAACTTATTATTAAAAGCTAACTCTGGTTGGTTTACCTTAATGCCACACCTATCTCCCAAGGTCATTTCAATGGTTATTGTTCCCCAATATATAATATTGGGGAGTCTATGGAGGACCAGATAGAAGATTGGATCCTCTTCTAGCAGGTAGCATACTTTTTTATAGTTTCCTTTCTGACCCTCTGCTATCTCTTGAAGCCTTTGGTGATATTGTCTTTTTTCTCACTATATTGATTGCTCAGATTTTTTTTTTTTTTTTGTAAATTAGTTTGACAGCTAGTCTCCTCTGTAAATTGTGAGGGAATGACCCTGGATTGTTGGAGCTCTACAGGTCTGAAGGGAACTGGGCACCAGAAGCTTGGTAGGTGACAGGAAGGGGAAGCCAAGGAAGGTAAAGTGGGTCTAGTGGCATTCAGGATCTGGATTGGGTGGTTCTATGATTGGTGGTCTACCATGCCCTACTTCCATGCCCACATCTTATGTTTCTGCCCTTTTTAATTTACAGCCATTTTGACCACCTTACTTTCCTTTTTTAACCAAGTGCTCTCTCCAGGACATTTGTATTATATATTATTCTTTTACCCATGGAGCTTTCCCTCATATGTCCAGATGGCTCACTTCCTGGCCATTGTTAAGTCTCTGCCCTGTTGTCAGTTATAGGAGACTTACCCTGACTAACTCACATAAAATAGAAACTAGCCCTTCCCTAGTCCTCTTAGCATTAATTACTCCTGATATCATATATTCCTTTATTTGATTATTGTCTGCCTCTCCAATTAGAATGACAATTCCATGAAGGCTGGGACTGTCTTATTTACTGTTCCAGAAACTAGACTTACCCCAGCATAACAGGTGCTCAATAAATGCCTATTGACTAACACAATCATAGGCATCTATTATGGGAGTCACTCACCAGGGAACTACACCAGGAAAATATTGCAACATCAGCAGCAAGTAAGAAACCCAGGTAACAAGCTTTTGCTTTTCTTTTCTATCCCTGGCCATTCTTCTTCAGATACCTTCTGCCTGGAGACTCCATCTATAGAATTTCAAACTTGAGAAAGGAAGAGAGAGGTAGTTCCTTGGGAGAGTAGAAACCAGTACAGTTTATTAATAACACATCTCCATTTTATTTGTGAAGTTCATTTCACCACTCCCTTTGGAGGAAGACTTCTTAAAGCTTGTATTGTTTTAGCCAAAGAAATACTCCCTATGAAGAAGGGCATTATTTTGAGTGAACAGACATCTAAGTGGGTCCTAGTCATCTGTCCCAGAAGATAAAGTAAAGGCATAGGAGAAGAGAAAGCAAGGGAATACGGAAAGACAAGCAGAAGAAGAAACTTGGTGGAAGATAGGGCAGAAGAGAGATGAGAAATGCCTGGGAAATGAATGAAAAAATAGACAAGGAGCTTTGGTAGTGCTCCTAAATCATTAGGATATTGAGATAGGACAATACTCGAACAAGCTTAAGTAGTTCATCTCCTTTAGGTGTTTGGTGCAAATGGATGGGAGGGGAGAGAAAGGTTAAGAATGCTTTGAAGTCTTTGCAGAGAGGATGTGGCTGGGGGTGTGTCAGAGGCTCTGTTGAGAAGGCTTTATGTATCACCTAAAGCTGAAGGTTTAAAAGTGATCATTCCTGTGGAGGACATTTCCTGTGATGGTGTAAGGGCTGGCTATATTTAAGGTTTGTAAGTGAAGCCTGGAAGCATGCTAGTACACCATTTAGTTTATAATACATTCATTCTATTAAATTTGGAAAATGGGAGGGACTAGTAAACCCTCTCTATAGCTCAAAAGCCTTAAGTGTTTGCTGCTAATTACACAACTCCAGTTCTTCCTTCTAGTCAACTAGTCTAGTTTTTTGAAAACTGGGATTACAATTCAGGAGTAGCTCTTAATCCAGATCAGCTGTTTAAAACACGAGATGGAACAGAGTACAATGTAAAACAGAATACTTTACAGAAGAAACACCAGACTTAATGTCAATGTGTATCAGGATTAAACAAACAAACAAACAAACAAACAACATGTTTCTGAAGGCCAGGAAAAATCTACTTTTTAAATCTAATTTGCCCAAGACTCTAGTATAAGTAGTTCATAGGACCATACTTTAAGAAAACTTAGATGCCCCCTCTCTGAGAAGTGCTGCTGATTTAATTGCCTTCTAAAGGGTGAATTTTCAAATGTTGACTTGGATGCAGTAAAAGCTTAAGACATAGACTTAACTTTCAAAATGCAGCTGTTTTATAGAACTTGACAATGTATTGGGCCCTAATGCTGCTGTCTTGGCAGAACTGGAAATCCTAGTTTTTTTTACCTTAGTGAGCATTAGATTAATTTGCAATATTTTAACAGTACGTATGATAAGGCAATTGAATATACTTTTTTTCTGATCAAGTTCTCATTTAGACCTTTTGAGATCTTTGAAACTTGGCTCAACTTTTCATTTTATATTTTCAACCTTGTGTTGCCCTTATGCATGATTTTAATTACTTTCAGAGGTTTGCAAGGAAAATAGTAATCTCTTCTGTTTGTGACCACATTGCTGTGATACATAATTAAATTAAACCGTTTACTGACCACTGGTTGGAACTAACCAAAGAAGGCAAAAGCTGAAAATTCAAGCACTCTCCAAAACAATGATCATAAAGGCATACCATCTCAGGAACATAGTGTGGCTCCTAATGAAATGTGTGTGGCCTAGGAAAGCCTTTGAATATGCCCAGCATAGCATTTTAAGTTACTGCAAAGCTAAGCCTGCACGCACAATGTAACACGGATTCCAATTTTCAGTTACCTGGGTAATTTAGGTTGCCTTACTGTAACCATTGGAATGCACTTGTAATAGGCAGAATGAAACCTAAAAAACACCATTATGATCCACAATTAAGTGAACTTGTCACTTAGTACAGTGTTCTCTAACTTTTCACTGGTTAAGTGCAGGTACAGGATAAAGCATTTGTCACTGGTCTAAGGTTGATTGAATAGTGAAGTATTATATAGGAATCCACGTGGGAGAAGGAATGCTAACTCATCAAACAGAATTAATCACAGCAACAACTTGGCACAGTGCTGAGACATTAGTTACATGTATAAATAGAAGATGATGATTCCCAGTCAGTGTTCTAGGCCCCCACAGACACCAGTTTCTAGAATCTGAAGAAGATTATTATTGGAACCTCAATTTCAGGAATTGAGGTTATAGTGTTGGCTATTTTAGTTTTAATAGGAACAAAACTTTCCTCAGTGGAAAGCGCAGTTGGTGGACTCCAGGACTGCTGTGAGTGAGTAGGTAGT